TCCTCCATCCAGCCGTTCCTCCATCCAGCCGTGCCTCCATCCAGCTGCTCCTCCATCCAGCCGCTCCTCCATCCATCCAGCCGTTCCTCCATCCAGCCGTGCCTCCATCCAGCCGTTCCTCCATCCAGCCGTGCCTCCATCCAGCCGTTCCTCCATCCAGCCGCTCCTCCATCCAGCCGTGCCTCCATCCAGCCGTGCCTCAATCCAGCTGCGCCTCCATCCAGCCGTTCCTCCTTCCAGCCGTGCCTCCATCCAGCCGTGCCTCCATCCAGCTGCTCCTCCATCCAGCCGTGCCTCCATCCAGCTGCTCCTCCATCCAGCCGTTCCTCCATCCAGCTGCTCCTCCATCCAGCCGTTCCTCCATCCAGCTGCTCCTCCATCCAGCCGTTCCTCCATCCAGCCGTTCCTCCATCCAGCCGTTCCTCCATCCAGCCGTGCCGCCATCACCACCTGAGCGGGAGGCGAGGCCGAGCCCGCGGCACAGCGCCCCCTGGCGGAGGGGCGATCACTGCCCCGGCCTGGCGCCCCCACCGCCCCCTGGCGGCTGTGACCGGAACTGCAGCACAGCGGAGGGCGGGGACAGTGCGGAGGGGACAGCGCTGGGYTTCTGCTTGGATTGGTTGGTGCTTATTTGCCTTGTTAGAAATATTAGCAAAGAATTGCTATTCTTTTCCAAATATTTTTGCCYGAAAGCCCCATGATTTCTGTTATAATAATTCAGAGGGAAGATAATAATTCTCCTTTCCAAGCAAGATCCCTACCTTCCTTGGCATGCACCCATCTTTCCAAGACAAACCAAGACAGATATATATCTGAGGTAAAACAAACCAGCTCCAGCATAACTCCCAAAGTATTGCTGAAATCACAGAGTTTGCCAGCAACTGGAACTTCATATATCTTCATTGTTTTTATCTAGCACACTGATTTCCTTTTTCCATTTTCAGCTTGCACAAAAGTTCTGGTCAGTTTAGAAGATACATGTAGCAAATCCCCACAGAGAATCAATTTGGTCTTTCAGAAAGGAACACAAAAAAGACAAAAAAGCAAGTGGTTTGGGATTGGGTGGTCTCATAGAAAGTGACTAGATTTTTCTCTGTTCCACTTCACCACATCTTCTTGAAACCGCAAGGAACAAAATTTGAAGACATCATATAAGTAAGTTTTCCAGTTGATCTTTAAGGAGCTTACAGGACACAGAAAGAGATCTGATTTTCTGAAGAATCCAAACCTTCTCCCAGGAAATGGGATTTTTCCTCCTATTTTCCTTCTTTGTACAACTGCAGGATAATGGGTAATTCTAAGACAAACTGTGACTTTGCATTAAGGCACATAGTTCATACCAGGAGTMCACTTTTGAAATGGGTTTCTTTRGTGTGAGSGTGSTGAGGCACTGGAACAKRTTGCCCAGAGAAGTCGTGRCACTCACTTAGTTTTTKGGTTGACTTCAAGCAGAKATTACCTTCCTCTAAAGTRGGATCAAAATTCAGAGAAAAGAGACTACCATGAAAACACTGAGATGGAAAATACTGAATTAAAAATCAAAATATTTGGAAAAACAAAATAGCAAAAATTTAATGTCTGAATCAACATGCACAAAAATAACAGCAGAACAATGTGCTGTCTTAAAATGTGTTCTGTTTTACATCTAYATTTCATGCAGCTGGTCCTAATAATCTACTCCCTAATTTGTCTGTTCCAGAAAATTATACCATTCCTTTCCCTGCTATCCTCAGCCAGTTATTCTTACTTCATTGTAATCCTACAGACTTACACTCTGTCAGCTTCACACAAAAAAAAAAAAAAGCCCCCACATTAATTTGACCCAACGCAGCACAAAATATCACCCATAAGTGTCAGGGTCCAGACAAAAGTAAAAAAAAACCCTGCATAGTGATAATCAGAAAAAAAATGTAATACTTGTAAACAAAATAAAGTATTTCTTGTTATGCACCTGGACATGAAGCCACCTGGTCCCACAGAATATGCACCTGGCTTTTATCCCTCATGGTCTAATATGCCAGCACAGCTACACTTGGCAGTATAGAGTACTAGAGTTAAGTCTAGCCTAAATATCTTAGGATCCAAAGCCATACAATAACATTGAGTAATATCCATATGGGTTTGAGGATTTCTGCTAAAAAGAAAAGGCATCAAATAAACATGATAACCATGTACTGCAAATCCCATGGGATATTGCCAATAAAAAATATATCCTGCATACACAAAGGTTGTGTGCACGTGGACATAAAGGAGGCATTGCACAGCACAAACGTGCTTACTGCTGCAGGAAAGATCTTGGCATCTCCAACACTTACAGGCGGGATCTGCTCCAGCCCTCAACAGAGGGACTGAGATATGAGCACCATGTCTTGTGCTCTAAATATTGGTGCTGGCTATCCCCATTGCAGAACAGACATAAGGAAACTTCTCCATCCCTCTGTGCTCATGCAGCCTTCTTGCTCCAAAATTCCAGCTTTGTGCTGGAACAGCACAAAATGCATACTTAGCCATACACTCTTTTGCCACCTCAGCTAAACAGGAGAAAACCTTTGGCAGATAAACAGAGAAAGCAATTGAGGATTCAAGAGTCTTGCTTGTTGGGGGTAAAGGTTAGAGAAACTCAAATCTTTTAGCAGACTTCTGCCAGAAAACAAATTTTAAAAAGCCTGCAGGATCTAAACTATGGCATCTTCCAGCTTCCTCCTCAGGGATACATCCATATTAGCATTTACTGCATTGCAGGGTTCACTTTAGGTTTAAATTTGTTTTGCATAAGTACTTGGATTCTTGCAACATCACTCAAGCTCTGGTGCAGCCCAAGCACTTTCCTTCCTGGTGATCTAAGGCTGAAGTCTTGTGTTAGGGCAGCCTCTGTCTCACCCCACCTGTGATGGTRGCACAAGGCCCTGCTATGCTCGCCACTCTACAATCCATGGCACACATTTAGGCCCAGCACCTGACAGAAACGCTGGACCTAGAACCTAGAGAACACTACAAATTAAATCCCAATTGTTTCATTTTTGTGCCACATCAATTGGCAAAGTAATACATAGTCTGAGCTTCCACAGGCAACTCACCTCCGAGTCCTGCTGTCATATTTGCTCACGCTGAACAGGCTTTCTGGTCTTTTAYCTCAGCTCAAAACTATTCTAAAATGCCATTAATTAACATCTATTTACCAAGGAATGAAACTTYCCTACAACTTCAAACTTTCCCTGAAGAAAACACAGGTAAGTCAGAAAACAATCACCAAGGACTGTACATACTAGTGTTAGGTAATTCAGTTAGGAAAATCCAATCTATTTCCTAGGCTATAGATCTTGCARCACTGATGACTTTAATAACTTGACATCGTTCCTGTTTTCTTTATTCCATTTCATATGGCATTGCCTTTCTATCTGCTCCTGAGCACAACAGGGAGCTTGGTTGTCACACATACACGTACACACACGCTCACTCCATTTGTCGAATCCCAGATATATTTATAACTGAACATATATTCCAAATCAGCTCAAAGAAAATGTAGCGTGTATTTGTTCAACCAGGCTGATATGTCARACTTAAATGCCTGCATTTATATCTGTCTGATATGAATTATGCATGTGCATTTATTAGCAAGCGCTCTCTTTCTCCTCTGTTAAGCTTTGAGCTGGTCCCTTGGGAACTCATTATCTACAGTGGGTTTCACAAGGGCTTGATGTGACTCTACCAGAATTGTTATTGTACCTTCCCAGAAAGACTGTGATACTCTTCCCAGACACCTACAGTTCAATTCAGAGTTGAGTTTTAAATTGTCTAATAGCAGTAAGTATTTTTCCCACTGAGTCAAAGTAGTGAAATTGAATTCTCTGGAATATTACCGGCTCTTTTTCCARAGACAGACAGAGGCAATGGACAGGTACTGCTGAAACAAGGGCTGGTCTTTCTCCTGGCAATCTGCTTCGACTTACTTATCTCATTTCAAAGGAGGTTTTGATTTTGCTCTTTTTTTTGCCACACCGGGATGGCGACTCTGCCCGATGCCAGCGCCGATGTCGGACATGAAAGGCAGCCCACAGCTAAGGTGCCGTATCCCGCTCGGCAACACCGTGTCAGCAGCTGGAAGGCGGTGAGAGAGCTGGTCCATCGCCATCCCCGCCACCTCCGAGGGTCTCACCGTTAGGATGGCGGGACGCGGTATCCAMGGCACSCTCTCCAGCCCGTCCCGCTCCATCMACACCGGCGCCCCAGACCGGGCACSGCTGGGATCCGGCAGCCAGGGCTCCCCCGGGCKGAGGAGATGGCGGCAGGTTGGCTTTTCCTTTTCCACTCCTACGCCACGTGGCACCCTCCTGCCATGGGATTTCGTGACTTTTCCGTGGATCTCTCTCCCTCGTGCAGCTGGATCTCCCGGGAGTGCGCGGGGCCGTGGCGCCCTCTGCGGGCCGCGGCGGGAAGGGCGCGGGGCGGGTGCGCGGGGCGATGMGCGGCAGGAACGGCGGGGGGAACAGCATGGGGAAGCAGCGCAATTCCCCCCAGGAGCCCTGGATTAGGAGGTTCAGAGAATCCCCGGCCCCCGCTCCCTGCTTTGGCGGGCTGGAGCCCTCTCTGCTGCCGTTCGGGCACGGCCCCGGAAGGCGCTCCGCGCCCGCGCAGCACAGGCGGCTCCTAGGGGAGCCTTGGTATCTCGGGGCTGCCCGGCTCCCTTCCCGGAGAGGGAAAAGCAACTTGAGGACTCGCTTSCCTCCAAACTGTAAACTTTAAGACACAGACTGAGCACAGTGACGGCTGAGCCCAGCGCTGGGTCCGAGGAGCGGCTGCTCCCGGGGGATGAGCTGCGGAGAGGYTCGGGCGGGACCGCACGGCTGCCCCAGGCGGCTCTGCCCGCCCCTCTGCGGCCTCGGCGGGGCAGCCCGGGCGGACCGAGCTTAGGGCATTTCCTCTGTGTCCCGAAAAGAGGAAGAGTGTCCGAGGCTGCTGCGGACACCTGGCGGGCATCGCCTCAGGGCAGCCCCGGTCCGACCGGGCACGGGAAGGGGCAGCGGTCACTGCAGCGGCCGAGGGAAACTGGTATTTCTATGGTCAGTAAGGGACAACCCCGCCGAAGGCATCTCCGTCCACGGTTTTCTGGGGGAATCGTCCATGGCTTTATGCGCTGCTTTGCTTTTTAAATAAAGTGRGTGTCCCGTCTTCCCAAGATGATGTTCGGGAGAGCCTAGGAGAGGAAAGGGAGGAGGGAAGCGTTTGTGGCCCCGGGCTCAGKTCATAGGAGGCTGCAGAGAATGGAACCCCGCGCCCCAGACCCCGCACCCGCCGGTATGCGCGGCCAGGACGAGCCACCCGCTTGCCGCGACCCGGGAGCGACTCCCGACGGCCGGAGCTGCCGGTGCTGAGGGCGCGAGTCCCACCGGGAGCCTCTCGCCGGGAAGGAGCTGTGGKCATCCCCCCCACCCCAGTCAGGAGCATTTTAATTGCCCAACTGAGAGCCAGCCTGGGCTTCCAGCTCCTTTGTGCCCAGGCGAGCGCTTCCCTCCGAAGGGAACGGGGAGCRCCCGTCGGGGGCCGGCCCGTGGGGCAGGGCCAGCTCCGCGGAGCCCGCACAGCTCCGCACCCAGCGGCAYGGCCGGAGGGAGGGAGGGAGRGCAGGAGGGCGGGGAAGGAGCCCCRCTCGCCCCGTGAGGCACACCCAGCCCGGTGCCGGTCCCGGGGCGGGGGTGAGGCGGCAGCGGGGGGCTGAGCGGGCGGGGGCCCCGGCTGCGTCAGAGATGTGTAAAYACCGCCGCGCTGCCCGCCGCTATTTAAGGGGCCCAGGCTGAGTCTCCCCTGACTTCCCTGCTTGGGCACACGCAGGACTCACTGCTCCCAGCTCGAGTCGGACCTTGGRAAAGCGCGGCGGAAAGGTAGGGAAGCACCTGTCACTCTCTTCTGACTGCACCACTGGTGAGGGTGGGGAGGCAAATGGGGATGCCTGGTGCTTACCTTGTGTGGCGGCTCGGAGGGCATCCCGCTGTGTGCCGGAGGAAACGCTTCCCGCTGGGAAGAATCCCGCCCGCTCCCGAGAAGCGCGAGCAGCCGGGCGGACCCCAGCGCGGGGCGAGGGATGCGGCGAGCGGGRCTCCCCACCGTCCCAGCGGAGGTGGGATTTTGGCTTTGGCAATGTTAGCAAGGACATGCATACTTAGATGTGTATATACAAATATATATATATATATATATACATTTATATATATATATAAGTATGTCTACAAAAAATACAGGACTCGGGGCAGTTGAAAGGATGCAATGCACCTGCGGTTTCTCAGTACCCAAACCGATATGGRTACGTCATCAATAACCATGCTGGAGTGACATTTCAACTTCCTTCATTCACCTCCTAATAATGTTTTAAATCCCCCATGCTTTATATACGGTGTATTATTTCAATCTGGTGTATGTGGTCGGCAAAATAACTTAATTTTGCCCCCTTCTAAAATTAAAATATTACATTGTTTAGCAGTGTACTGCTAAAGAACTTAAGCAGTTAAAAAAAAAAATCACGTAGCTGAGATAATTCATGTGTATTTGTAAGTGAAAATTACCCCCATAGCATCAAGTACTAGGTAGCTCATTTCTTCTAAGGATTGAGATAATTTCTCTGTTTCCAGAAATAAAAAATACTRTTTCAGCTTATGGGTTAAGACAATTTAATCAACCAACATTGTTTTGCTTAGTACACACTTAAGGAAGCAGTAGAAATCTAAATTCTCTGTTCAACAGGAAGAAGATGTTKAAGTTGTGCTTTATTTCTTACAGCTTTTAACTAAATAATTTTTACCACTCCAGCTATTAGATCAAGTTCTTTGGGGCAGGGGTGCTACGTTTTGGAGTTTATTTGACTGGGACAAGGTTTTGTTTTTTCTTTTTGTGTATGATGAGATGAAACCTCTTGAACACTAAAGTTGAACTCGATGAACGTTAATAGAAAAAAGGCTCTTCATGAACTTGTCAAAACTGAGTATCTGTAATAATATCAGGGTTTAGTGCAATAGCCAACTGAAATGTTTGAATCATGAGTTATTTTCACAGAGATGTATTTATGTCCTTTAAGTTTTTATGAAATAGGTCTTCCTCCAGAAAAAGAAAAGCAAATGATAATTGAGTAGATCAGGGAGATACAGCGCATAGAAGGCTAGAAAAAAGAAAATTAATTACCTGTACCTTCCTCTTTAACAATGATATTTAGCTATTCACATATGTGTTTTCCAACTTAAGACAGATCCCACAGTTAACTACATTTAAAAAGCCCCAACAGAGCCCTGGTTTGCTCAGAAGCCGGCATCCCCAGTGGGGGGAAGGTGTGGTTAGGGACAGCGCACAAGGTGGTAAATGTGCTCATTTGACAGCCCGCTGTTCCTTTTCYCCGCAGCGATGTACAGCGGGATATGCATCTGCGTGCTCCTTGCCGTGCTCTCGGCGAGCTCCTTGGGACAGCAGGCCATGGGATCGCACAATGGGAATCCTCTGCCTGCTGAGCTGGAGCAGAGCCTGACAGAACATCACCGGCACRTCCGCGCCCCGTCCTCTGCCGGGTCCCTGAAACCCCTGCCACGGCTGGATGGCAGCAGTGACCAAAGAGCCAACATCGGTGCTTTGCTGGCCAAGTACCTCCAGCAAGCCAGAAAAGGTACTGCACAAAGCCTCTTCCTGTGCCAGGGGGGTTTCCTGCAGGGATACCCAGGTGTTGRCATAACCCTGTCACCATCTAATGTGAATTCCTAGAGAAGATAGGATTTAGAATTTGTCTGGTTGTTTCTGAAGTAGAGAGCATTCCAAATGCTCTCTCCCAAACCCCTCACAAAAAAAAAAAGGATTTATTTGTAGCAGCCTCTGACTGAGAATCATGTAAAGATAACCATAGAAAATGCCACCTTCTTGTCAGGTTACAGTCCAGCTTTTATTTTTAACTATTTTCATTGTCTTATTATTTTCGTGGTATTTCCAGTATGTTGTATCTCAGATAAAGCAATTACACTTTCTTAAAAGTTTTTAATTTAGTTAAAATCTTCCCTCCTTCTTTTTAAACTTAGGAGAGCAGGAAAACTTTTCTGAGGATAAATGCAGACCAAATGGCTAGCATCACCTCAGCCAGAGATACCTGTACCAGGGAAATATTCTGAGTGTTAGATTTTTTTACATATTTTTTTCCCCAGAGGAACAGCTTTCACAACACCAGAATTCACATTTATTAGTGCAATAATTAAAAGAAATGATAAGCAAAAGCACATTTGTTGAAGCAAATTTGTTGATTCCTGATAGGTTTTTGGTCTCAGGCAGCTTGGGAACACAATATTGCAGTCACCTAAAACCTCCACGGCACTGTGTAACAAGGGCATGAAGCATCAGTAGAGCAATGGAATTACAGGGCTTCATTCTTATCATGAGATTTTATTAGTCACTCGAGGAAACCATTGTATTACCTGAGGGAAAGTGTAAAGCTATCCCTGTCGACACCTTACAGAATATATTTTACACAGACAGAAAAGCATGCCATCTGTGCTACCAGGAAAAATGGTGGCTCAAAATCATTGGCCACTGACACTTGCCCAAGAAAACATTTTTCTGAATGAGCTGTCTCATCTCTATAGTGCTGTGTCTCAATAGAGTAACACCATGGGCAGCCTAATTGCTGTGGTCTTCTGGCTGCTGACCTCGGTGAGAGCCACTACAGAAATTTTGTTTACCTGTGAATGCTTCACTCCAGTCTGTGCCCTGGACTATAGGGAAAAAAAAAAGACATCTAAGAAGGAAAAAAGGCTTCAAGAGAAGCCAGTAATTAAGACTAGGATTATCCAGCCATATAGACATTGAGAAATTAATTCACATCCAGCTCCAGACAGTGCTTAGGATAAAATTCACTTCATATAAGTAAAGGCTTCCTCCTCTCCTGTCTCTCCACATAATGCAGATCATTTAACTCTCCTCTCTGGGTAGCTTTCCTCAGACCTTTATGCTAGGCAAATCCTATGCTTGTCTGTGATGGTGGTCTGCAATTAAGAGATGCCACATGTGTTTCTGTATGACTTATGCAGCCATACACACTCCTCTGTGTACACAGAACRCAGCCAAGCCAGAAACAACAGAAAAATGAATCCCTTTCAACTGATGCCTGAAAAATTTAATCTCACGTCAGCAATTTGCACAATACCCGTTAAGGAACTTCTCARTGTTCATGCAATTTAATGGAAAGATTGTTCAGATAGGAAATTCCACAATCCAGTGCTACACTTCATGTTGTTATTGAATAAGAAGGTTATTGCAGGAGTCTGCAAAGCAGAATYCTTGTTGCCTTTTCCCAGCATAGTCATTGCTGCCCACACACGTAGAAATTGAACTCCTCATTCTAGTTTATGTATCCATTATATTCCCTTAAATATCTGGCTGACATTTCCAAATAGATTAACAAGATAAAGTGAAAAAATACCCTTTACATTTAAGATGTCTTCTTCTGTAAATATTAATATGAGGAACGACTTCCTGCATATGAGTTATTGACATGTATAATTGATTCTCAAAAGTGTCTGGAAGCAGAGGTTGAGATTCCTGTGATTTGACTAGGCTAGATGGATTCTAGTTTGTAGATGTAGTTGCTGGAGAGAAGATTCATGGGACAAACAGTATTTACTTAATTTATAACACACATACAGTGCTCCCATCAAAACATCCTATTSTCATTTAATGTGAAGACTCTGGGCAGTACTTCAGAAATCTCTGCAGAGCACTCACATCRACTGTGTTAGTCATTTCTAACCTGCCTAAACCCTAATACTCACCAGAAAATTCCATCTAGGRGGAAAGAGAGTTTGGGCTTTTGTCAATGTCAGCAGTCACCAGTAGAGTGGTGTTTGTCCTCATGGTTAATAGAACCGCTGGTTTTGTACCRTGTTTGCAGTTAAAACAGTGAGAGAGTTAAGTTCCCTCGAGGGCTTAGGGATTGATGGCAGCCTTGTGGCTGAACTGCTCCATTTCTGAATACGTTTGTCATACACTCATTCTGCAGTATCCACATGACATCTCTGGTGAGTTGAGGAAAGGTAATTAAGGTGCTGTTAGGAAATCTGGGACCGAAGCTTTCAATTATTGAAAAGCCTGTTCATCTGCAGGCTTTCAGCTTGAATCTGGCACTGTGTAGAAGAGTTCAGCTCTTCAGCCAGTGACAGGCACATTTAATGTCCTCTGAGGAGCCCTAGACAGGCCAGAGAGAAGTGGCCCCAGGGGAGCCTTTAGAGCCCACAGGTCGTGGCAGGTTCAGAAATCTCTTAAACACCAACATCGGAGTGATGGCTCTGTGCTGCCTGAGCCCTGCCTGTTATTGTGCTAAGGAGCCATTATCATTAACTTAACTACACTTCTTGAATTATGACTCTAAGCTTCATGGGGCTTGAGCATTGAATGATAGACATTCTATTCTAGGGATGATAAAATTTTTGTCATTTTGTTCTGGGTAAATATCTTAAACAAGGCTTTTTGGTTTGTTTTTTTTTTTTTAAACCTTCAACTCCCTGGAAGCCCTCACAAAAAGTAATGCAGCTTTTTATTTTACTGGGTCATGTTCATCATAAATCATTACATGAGGAAGACCTTGGAATATAAAAGCAAAGAGTTATCAAGGGTTTCTTTGAAACACAAGAAACCKTAAGCAAGGCAATTGTATAGATTGGGATATTTGGGATGTTATTTGGGATCCTTTTACTTTTTGATGAACTTGAGTATTCCTCAGGCCTCAGTCTGTGTTGAATACTGATATATTGAATCTGTTCTTCCCTCACTCAAAGCTTAACTCCGTCTAGTTACTGGTATATATCAGTTTTGTCTGTTTCCAGGGAGTAGAGGGAGAAGTCGTTGATCTTTCCCTGTGTTTTTAGTTACATCATATGATGATCTGAAAACAGAGGATTGTAGCCCTTTTTTAAAGCATAAATTCTCCTTGCAAATAGTTTGTGCATCAAAGATGCACAGCTTCAGCAAGGCATAGAGCAAGGATAAGGCAAGATCAGAAATCAGCACCCAACCCTGCTGTGAAAAGAATTGTGAAAGCTTTGGATAAGCAATAAAAAAATTGCGGACACAGTAAAAAGCCCTGTGTAATTCCAGCAACAGGTATCTCTAACTGTGAATTCCAGACACAASTTTCTCCATTTCAGGACTATTCCTACTTTTCCACAATATCTAGGATTTATAACTCCACCCTGCTTGTGACCAAATTTGCACTATGAGAGCTCCTGTACTTACATTTCTGTCTTTTTAAGAAGTACAGGACTGTGGTGTCTTAGGCATGAGTCTGCTCTCAAGAAGTGTTATTTTGCATCTAGAGCAACTCTCCCAATACCAGCAAGCAAACATGGGGCTTTATATCAATAATGAGAAATGGTTTGGACTCTCTCTCTCTAGCAAAATGGGAAGGAAAAATCTATCCATATTCCTTCCTGTCAGACAGGAGCAGAATGTTCCTGCAGCAGGAGGTAGAAAATGATCTGTTTATTTTGCACTGAAAAAATCCAAGCCACTTTCAGGACTTTACCTCTGAGTTTTCTGTTGATGTTTTCCCCAGTGGCATTACCTGGCCTGAATTGGGTCCATTCCAACCACTGCAGACATCTGCTAATGACTGCAAAGTAGATCAGAGAATGAGTGAACCTGGAAAACGTGTCCTCTTACTCTCTGATCTCCCAAACTCTTTTTCCTCAGGTTCCACTGGAAGATTCTCAGTCATGGGAAACAGGGTACAGAGCATTGACCCTACTCACAGGATAAATGACAGAGACTACATGGGCTGGATGGATTTTGGACGCCGCAGTGCTGAAGAATAYGAGTATTCTTCCTGAAGAACACCAAACTATAGCAACAAGAAAAGCAAAAATCACACTCCCATGTCTGCACAAAAAGAGATAAATCAATTTGTTGTCCTCTACAAATCAGTGTTTTGAAGCATTTAAAATCATGTATTTGACCTGAGTTTGTCTGTAAGACTTTACAACGCAATATATACATATGCAGAATTTTCCAGAAAATGTTTTCTTTCTTTTGTGGTTTCTCATACATGGATACCATATTAAAATGATTTCACTTATCCCTCCTTGTCCCGTCACTGCATGTTGCTGGGTGTCTTACTGTAAAGAGAGGCAGGAYAATGCCTTCATTCAGCAATGTAAATATATTCCACTTATTGAGTATTCGGCTAGATTATCCACTTTTCAGAGAAATCTTGTGTCAGTTCCATTGCCCAAATATAAACACAGCAGCACAACACTGCCAGAAAAGACCAGTTATCCTCATGGAGGCCCGATTTGCAAAGGACTGAGTTGTACACTGAGCCCACATGTTTGCAGCAAATAGCCAACAGCACTAAAATAATGAAAAAGGAATGACACCAACAATGAAAAAGGAAATGACACCAACATGTTTCATCTTCCTGGCTTATTTATGTTGTGAACTCAATGTGAAAGTTCTGCTGGTGGCTGCGAATCATAGAATAAACAGAGCATTCCCTGCCGTGTGGTGAGCCAAGCATTCATTTGGGAGGGGGTGAGGACAGGTCCCTGAGCAGAGCAGGTGATCCTGAGAGGGAGAGGTGTGGGAGCAGTGTAGTCACTGTGTCCTTAAAGGACGGAGGCAGCTCCCAAGTGTCACAGAGGCTGATGAGTTGGCTGTTGGCCCCCAATGTGGAGAGAAGGAGGGAGGCTCTGGGCAGCTCTTACCCAGCTCAGAGCAGGGCAGAGGGCCCTGAGTTCCAAGCTGGGCAGTGATCCCRGCTTATGCAACACCAGCACCCTGCAGTTCCTGCAGTTGTTCCTGTCTGATTGTGGCAGGCTGCAAAAAAGTGTTTCACCTGCACTCTCCTCCTCCAGCACAGGTAACCAACCTCCCTGCAGCTYCTGGGTCTCCTTCAGCAGCTGGATCTCACATGTAAGGAATTCCCTAGATTGTGAAGGAGGTGATTTTTGCATTGCATAATTCACAGAGTTTCTCCCAAATKTGTGTGCGCTAATAAAAAGCCAGGAAAATATTTGTCACAGGCAGGAAAGCAGAGCCTTGCCAAAGGAGAGAGACAGCAATTTCTGCAGCAGTTAAGAGCTTAATAATAGTTTCTACAATACAAAGAAAATACTTGTGCTAAACCAAAATTCTAGTAGAATGAAGAAGACTGAGAAACAAACCAAAATGGTTGTGCCAAGGGCTGAGCACAAAAACACTTTGAGGGGCTGTTCCCAGCAGCAGCAGCTGGGAGAGCAAACATTTTTTATTTTTATTGCAGAATCTGCAGTGAAAGGGAGATTTCAGCAAACTGTACCGAGGAGTTTTCTCTCATAACACCAAATATATAAATATTTTTAAATGGATCTCATCCTGAAAACATGGAAATGCCTTCTGCTTTTCTTCCTTTCAAGCTCCTCCCAGTCAGCCAGTTTCCAAGCCACCTAGTTTGGCTTTTTTTTTTTTTGTTCCTTTCCAAGCATAATGAGTCCCAAACCACCTAAATTCTCCCCTTGGTTTTGGTTATTGCTCACAGCAAAAGTCCAAAGAACCCATTTTTTTCCAAAACTTTCAAACAAGAGATTAAAACCAATTAATCTATTCTTTTTAAACAGAGGGAAATACAAATAAATCTAAAAATGCATGTATTTAAACATTTCCCACCAAAATTATGTTTCTTTWGAAGTAACTTGGGAGAAAACTAAGTTTCTGCTTTGCTCTTTTAAATTAATGTCAGGAACATTCAAGCAATATTTTGAAATGTTTCCACTCCTGGCTTACACTGATGAAGGATGTAATATTGTAATATTGCAGGGGGACTGAGAGTGGGTGATGTTACAAATCAAGCCTTACTACTGCAGAATGTTATCATTAGGAAAAAAAAGCCCTCAAACCTTTTCTTTTTCTGCTTCTTTTCATTTCCTACATGCATATGGATGGAGAGACAAAGATGTTCTTTCCCATTCCTCTCCTCTGGAGGTTTCTGAAGACAGTGCATGGCCCCCAGTGCAGTCAGGTGATAGATTTGGCAGCTTTTACCTGTCRCTCCTCCAGGGCAGGAGCATCTTTGCCTGGCTTACAGAAATGGTTTCACCACCTGACTGACACAAGGGAGTGTTAAGGATAAAGAAATCTGGGGGCAATTGCAGGAGTTATGAAGAGAGAGACACTGGGACACAGTGCTGTCCCTCAAGACAAGGGGGAACTGGCTGTTAGCAGCTCAGCAACATTATCATCTTTATCTTAAAAATATCCATCACCTTCTCCTCTGGAACCAGAAGAAATACCCCAAGTGGGAAAGGATTGTAAAGGCTGCTGAGACATCATTCAGCTCCCAGGGGACCTGGAGGTGCYAATCTGAGCTAAACAGAGGAGCCAGCACACTGGGGAAAATCACACAGCCCTGGTAGCTGCAACCCTCAGCCCATGGTGTTTGTGAAGCCACTCTCCAGGGTGTCCTGTGTTAACCCAAGGGAAGCAGCAGCCTTGGGGAGGGAGGCCCTGGATGGGGATGGAGGACAGGAGCCCCTTACATCCAGCGAAGGCTTTGGGCTGAGGTGCCCCACGGATTCCAGCATAYACAGCAGTGCATTGGCACAACCTCCTGATGCTGTCTGGGATGTGAGATTCCTGGCACTGCCAACTATCTGGACATTTACTTCAGCTTTATCCAAATTCATCTTAAGGAAAACATGTGCATTGCTGCTAAATTTACACTGGCAAGATAGCAAATCTGTACCTTTTTGYATTTAAAAGGCAGTTTATTTTCTCCATGAACTCGATTCAATTAGTTCTGTTCCAGCTTTATTCACTTTATTTCAAAACAGGTACTGGGCAAATTCCATGAATGGAGCAGCTCACCGCGAACACCACATAAATTATTTGGGAAAAGCTCGTTGTTCTGCTTTTGCAGAGCTGTGCATACAGCAGCTGTGAAAAGAGAGTAGAATCAGCAAGTGCTCCTTATGGGAATGAGGAGAAACCCAGGCAAGAGAGAGGGAGGGGACAGCTTTGCCTGGGATCTTGGGYATCACGTGAGGGAAACCTCAGTTATACCAGTGCACCTGACCCTGAACAGTCTCATCTKCCCTGGTATCTCACACAGGAACATGTGTGGATCCCGCTCTCTTCTCCCTGGCTTTGATGCATCCCCAGCTGCTCCATCCTTGCTGCATGGGGACTGGCAACATGCCAGATGTTGGCAGCTGCAGCCMGCTGTGCACGTTTCAACAAGCCTGACAGCAAAGCAGGCACTTCCCTCTGCAAGGCTTGAGCAGAGGAATTTGCAAGTCAAACAAGATGAACGTTTCAACGTCCCAGCAGAGCAGCCAAAGCCTTCTCTGTGTGCTCAATTTTTGTATCCCCTAAATTCATTAAAATTCCCTTAAATAAAAAAAACTGGCTGTGTGCTTGTTAAAGCTTTAATCATTTCTAAGTACCTGAACAGCAGTTGGATTCAGCACAGCTTGAAACCTATTTCAGCAGGACAAAAATCTCTGTAATCTTTTCAATGCAAACATTACCGGCKTCTGAAATGTACACCATTCTCACATGAAAGCCCATTATAGCTAAGGGCATTGCTAAGCACCAACTTTCAGGCCTTTCACTTTCCTGACCATTGTGTGGYTCGGTTGGCTTGTTAAGTGAATTAAAGCAGATGTGAACACAGCCCGCAGTGAGATGTGGGAGCACAGCTGAACGAGGCTGATTCTTCACCGTGAAGCCACAGGCAGCTGATGCTGTCTGTACCAAAGGAACCTGGGACATATCTCAACAGCACTGCTGGACTTTTCAACTCAATGTAGAGAGCTGCCAATAAATATGTTCAGGAAGCTGGGAGAAACACTTAAATCTCTGTGCACAATAGTAGTGTGTTGTGGGGCCATACAATGCTTAGGATACATGCAAACGGAAGAGGGGAAGAGTCTCAAAAGGCTTTTTTAGCAGTCTTGGCACTCCAAAGAACATCCTGTGTGTCCACAGCCCAGGCTTAGACACAATCCTCAGTACCTCATCTTCCTGTCCAATGCAGCTTTCAGAGGAGCATTACCAGAAGTGAAAATGCATCCAGAAAACTTTCTGAGACATTTGAATATTGCAATTGTGGAGGACTACTTCAACACTGTCTCTTCTGCATACCCCAGAATCAGATTCAGCTCYCACCTTCCCTGGAGTGGTACTTGCTTAACTGATCCTGTTCCCAGGCAAGGAGGGCGGGATGCACAGTGCTCATCCTCCCTGGATCTCTCCGATTAACCATTAACTTTCTGACCAGGAGTGTCCCCCGGGCTTGGAGCTGGGCAGAGAGGAAGGATGAATGTCTGCACTCACTGAAAGTCCCTGGCTGTGCCYGTGGCATCAGCCTCTCGCAGCTGGCGTAGGGCACTGCGTCACACCAATGCAAGCCCTCCACCAGTTTATTTTGGCATCACTGCTATGGCATTTTCTCCCTGTAGCAAGTGTGTGATATAAATGCTATTATTTCCCTCTCCTCCTCACACACACACACACACACACACACACACACACACACACACATCGTTCACCTCAATGAGGCTATCTAATCTTTCTAGGAATTACTGCCTGACTACTCTGTCCTCCAGGGAGCTTTTCCCATTTTTAGCTTTCACTGTGTGTGCAGGTTTTTTGAGTTTCTCACTACCTGATGTTTGCTCAGTGTAATGTTCCCTCCCTCAGTAATGAAGATATTGGCTAACAGCARACCTCAGTCCTGTCTCTTTTGAAAAACACAGACTGTTTCCTCCTTATTCTGTACTTTCACATTTTGTCACTACAGGTTTTGCACTGTATTAGGCAGGAGAGTGCAAATTTCTCTCCTCTTCAAAATAGAGAAAGCAAACAACGTTCCATTCTGCATTTTTACAAATCAAACCAAAAAAATGAAGAAGCACATTTGCTTCTCTATTTTCTTTTGACTCAAGTTTCACTGATTCCAGCAAACTTAAAATCAGAAAACTTCTCAACCAGTTCTGTG